TATATTGATGAAAGATGAAAGGGATTACATTAATTTGGTAAATGAAACAGATTTGTAGGAACGTGAAGACATATTTTTGATTCAATTACTTGGTTAAAGAAAAATGAGGTACTAACAGATAAACGATATGATGATACTTCGTCAGATGTTTGTGACAAATACAGAGATTTTATAGCTGATCCTAAAAATAATAAATTTCGTGAGTTTCTTGATTCAATTGATAGTACTAGAACTTTTAATATTGTCTAAAAAAATTATATAATGAAAAAACAAATCGATTTTAATCTAAGTTCAGAAAAAATTCAAAAACAAGATATTGATGCATTAATGCAATATTACAGATATTATCATCAAAACCCTCTGGTGAACGAAACTGTTACAGGTATCACAATAAGATAATTCGAGTAATATCAAATTTGCCACTGCTAATGGCCACTTCTGGCAAAATATCGAGCGGAGCATCATTAAATCCTTTTCTGTTAATTAGATCTGCTGTTGGTGTCTCTCTTAAAGCAGCATGTAAAAAGATTGAACCCAGGCTTGAGACGAAAACAATGCTTGTAAAATAGCTAGTATTACAATAAATTACTTGATCAGATACCATCTTATCTGCAATGATATGGACGATATCATATTAGACATTAGTTTGAAAGTATAGTGAATTCAAACAAATATATCTGTATTATAAAGACTATTGGCACATCATCACACTCGCGGCCATTGGTATATCAATATAACAGAGACCATAATCACGTCAACACCTTCAGCAGTGGATATATTTCGAGCACAAGCAGAATTTAATTAGAACTTTATTCATTAAAACTGGAGATGAGACTTTTCGGACTATTTTGGATTTAATTTGTAACACAAGTTCTTTTTAAATTGTCACGTTTGTATTATAGAGAAAAAAATGTGTCTGTTGGATTTGACAAAACTTGATTATTTTCGATCTTTTCTATTACTTAATTTAAGACCGTAGTCGTAATACTGATATCATCTCTAGATAAAGGGGATACCGAAGTCATTGCCAAAGTAATATAAACCTTTTTGAAAAAATTTCAAAAGAATTGTCGATGATTTGATTGCTTTATATATACTTGAATGATTTATAACTAGCAGCATTAGCGAAGCTCATAAAAATACTTCCTGGATGGCAACATTTTTTTTATAAAGTTCGATTCAACAATACTGCTCCAAATGTCTCAATACACTTGCACGAGAACACAAACGGTATTTAATGTTCTTTTATATTATTATTACAAGTTGTGACTAATGTTTTTTTTTATTATCTTTATTATATATTTTTATATTATCTTTACCCTTCCATCAGTACACTTTTATAACATATACACAATTTAGATCCATAATATATAAAATCTTTCTTAAAGCTGATATCTCTCACTTGCCAATATAGATTAAGGTCATATTTGAGGGAAATTTGTGTCCATGCAAAATTCAGTACTCTTTAAAACATATTCAGTTCTTTCCACAACGAATAGAAATCCCAATTACAGCAAGTTTCAAGTCAAATTTTATAAATTTCTCATGATAGTTTAGTTAGAGCTAAATATGTAATCACGATCTTCTATTATTATTATTATTATTATTATTATTATTATTATTATTATTATTATTATTATTATTATTTAGTCAAAACTGACGTCATACAAACTAAAGCGAGGCTATGTTAAGGGAAGTAACAAATCGGAAATTTTATTCCATCTAAACTTTGTGTTAATTTTAGTGTTAATTTCGTGAAGTCGGTAGGGGTGCACGTTTTGGGAGCAACTGGTTTTTAAATAGAAACATATTAGCATTAAAAGGAAATAATAAATTTGCTAATTAAAGATATTTGTATAATTTACCTGTAGCAATGTATATGTATGGTTGTGTAAAGCAGCGGCCTTGGCAACACCAATCAACCAATGGGTGTTCTCTGCAAACTAATGTATAGTAAAGAACAGAAGGGTGGTTTAATGCGTTGTTTGATTCCTTCTGACTTTTCCAGGTGTTAATACCAAAATATGACAAGTAGACAAAAGTTGCCAAACTTGCAATAAATCTAATATCTGGCTTCAAACTGTGTTGTTTGCATTGGATTATTATACAGTGGTTTTGGAGAACAGCCAATAATACAATACATGGAGAGATCACGCGTTTCCAGTCCGGTTTAAAGTGTTCTGCTTGTTCCTGCACGATCAATGAATGGCATATCCAAAAATAGATATTAGATGTAAACTCAACATGAGGATTAAACGTATTTGAACAAAAGAATTCTTTGGAACAGGACGTAAAATTGAGGTTCAACTCGTAAGCTTCTTTGACGGCTTTTAACAAGGATTTGGACTATGATGGGCGGAAAACTATTGTAGTGGTATGTTGTTCACTGTGTTAACAGAAAAAAATATGATCCTGATTCAGTTGATATTTCTGCCTTATAAGTAGCAAATAACCTGTCTTATTTTAGTTTCTTTTTTATGTGTACGTACTTTTCTCACCCAACATTTTTTTTATCAATGTAAAGCGAATTGTAGAGAATCGTACAATTGACACCCTGTTTTGTTTTGTTGCGTAGTTGTGCCCCAAATGTTTACACACATTCATAATGAACAATGCAATTCTTTGACATAATGGAGTTGGACTGGTGTATTACAATATGATCATGTTGTAGTCTTTACGAATTTCATTCCGTGTAGACTGCTTTCCTCTTCTGATGAAAATTTGTAGTAAAATGTTTTCGTTTGACAGCCTGACTCTAAACAAGACAAAGAAGCACTGTTACCAACAATTCCAGTCTTACCAAGTACAATCTTGTTGTATGTACATGTGAGATTTACATTGCTTAGGGATTCACTGATTACAGGTTAATTAACATCTGTGATATTTCTTCTATTTGTATCATTGTAGAAAATATAAATTGATTTGAGGTAGATAAAATAAATTGTGCATTTCAAAACTATTAGTACATTTTAGTGGCTGTGAATAGAGGCCAAACATGGTTACATATTTTTCATTTATCTGAATTGATATTTTTACATCCATTTTTCCATTAAAACTTCTTTATTTTTCAGGGAAAACAAAACAAATTTTGGTCTTTGTGTGAGAAATGATCCACAGCTTTTCAGTTTGAACCTTGGTCTTCAAAGTAAACCTGGATCTGCCAGTGCTGATATCTATAAGGTATTTTTGATAACTATTATCTTTCATCTAAAAGACTAAAATTTTTAAAATAATATCAACTTTTCTGTACGATTACAGAGAATATTAATAGCATCTCATGAAGAGTCCAGATAGGATTGCATAATTAACCTAGCTAACATCACAGCACTATTGCAGTGATATCAACAGACATGGAAACTGGAGAACTGTGATCAACTGAACACTGAAGTAATTTTTACACATCTGAAAACATGCCAAACAGTAATGATTTAGTGTTGTTTAATCAACTAGAAAATTGGAAAATTTAATTGTTTTGATAAATTAAAGAAGTAACTACATAGAGTATATGTGCAATCATTCCAGTAAACTCTTTAGTCAAATCCAAATGATAAGCCAGGTGACTATTTTACCTAGTATATGAAAGAATTGACTGACATTTAAGTATACTCATATTTTTGACATTTAAGTATCTGCAGATGATGGATGTTTAAGTATACTCAAATACTTGACATTTAAGTATACTCAGATACTTGATATTTAAGCATACTCAAATACTTGACATTTAAGTATATTCAGATACTTGATATATAAGCATACTCAAATACTTCACATTTAAGTATTCTCAGATAACTGACATTGAAGTATTCTCTGATAACTGACATTTAAGTATTCTCAAATACTTGACATTTAAGTAGTCTCAGATAACTGACATTTAAGTATACCCAGATATCTGACATCTATTTTTACTCAGATTATTGACATTTTAAGTATTCTCAGTGACGTGACATTTGAATATCCTTAGATACTTGACATTTAAGTATTCTCAGATAAATGACATTTAAGTATACTGATATAACTGACATTTATGTATATTCATATTCTTGGCATTTAATTATACTCAGATATTTGACATTTAAGTATACTCAGATAACTGACATTTAAGCATACTCAGATATTCGACATTTAAGCATACTCAGATATTTGACATTTAATTATTCACAGATACTTGACATTCTGTGTACTCATATATTTGACATTTAAGTGTACTCAAAAAACTGATGTTTAAAAAGCATACTCAGATATCTACAAGGTCTGCAAGGGGGGGGGCAACCATGGATATATTCTCAGGCCCATAAGGGGGCCCAGGAAAAACAATACCTTTTATATTTTTAAAAGAAATTTTTTTTAAGCAATAACTAGGAGAGGCCCAGGTGTTTCTTACACTCTATATAGTTCTGGATAATTGACATTTAAGTATTCTTAGGTACTTGACATTTATATATACTCAGATTCTTGACATTTTAGTATACTCAGATAACTGATATTTAAGCATACTTGATATTTGACATTTAAGTATTCTTAGAAACTTGACATTTTGTATAATCATATACTTGACATTTATACTTAGATACTTGAAATAAGTATGTTCAGATACTTGACATAAGAATACTCAGATATTTCACATTTAAGTATGCTCAGATACTTGACATAAGAATACTCAGATATTTTACATTTAAGTATGCTCAGATGACTGACATTTGAATATAAAAAGATGCTTGTCATTTCAATCTACTCAAAGCCAAGTTTTAGGTCACCCTTAATACAGTATGTCTCTGAAAATAAGACCAGGCAGCAAGCTTAATAGATGTGGTTTAAAAGTGGACTTATTACCAGCCACTCAATATTTGGCACCATTTTGTGAAGAGTAGGATGGAGTAAGATGGGATGGGAAAGGGTCTGGCTAATTATCATCATATAAGTATTGTATGGACAGCAGGAAGGAAGAGTTTTAAAGGTTTATATGTGTCAACCTAATGTCATTAAGGTATTTAGTGTTGCACTGTTTCCGGTGGCCTAATGGTTAGAGCATCTGCCTCAGATGTGGAAGGTTGTGGGTTCAATTCCCAGCAGAGTCAAACCAAAGACTTATAAAAAAATATACTAACAGTTGTCACACTAGGCGCTCAGCATTAAGAGGTTAGTGTTAGGGCTGGTCTGCCTGGTGTCAGGATAATGTGACTGGGTGGGACATCGTGCTACATGTCTGCAGCATGATTCCCCAGTGCTAGACATCGCTATAAACTGCCACACTACAGATAACATAGTGATATGACTGAAAAATTGTTAAAGCTTCAGTAAAAATCAAAATCACACACACACACACACAGTGTTACAGTAAGTGAGAAGAACACATAATCATGATTTGACTGTTTTATATACTTTTGTGGTGGCTTAATAACTTTCCATCACATGAAGTTTTCAATTAAAATGTAGGCTAGAGTCATGAATCATCACTGTTTACCTTTGTTACAAGCATAAGGAAATGCTCATAACCTAGAACATTTTATTCAATGTTTGATTTTTCTTGGAATTTTGCCAATATCATTAATGTTATATAGCCCAAAGTGTTGTTTGTTTTAAGTCTTTGAGATTCAATACAGAGTAACTGTGTTCATATCTGACATTTCATCATACTTTTTCTGTTTAAATTTGTTTCTCAGAAACATTGCCAAATCCCACATTATAATAGTAAATACATTTGCATGGGTCAAGCTAGACTTGAATTTTAGAGAAAAGTGACTTCTCCTTTTGGACAGAACATGGAGAAGTGAGAGCTTAACAGGAATAAGTGGACACAAAGCAAGAAACACAATATATATACTGTGTGTTCTCTTATTTGAATTGTGCCCTTTATTTCCCAGTATTCATATTTGCTTTTAACAATGGATTTAAGCAATACTTTATTTTCTGGTAGAAAATTTTCTTTGTTTTTTGCGACTTATGACTAAAATAGAATAAATAGAAATTGCATTGTAACAAAATTGAACAGAGTAACTAGATTACATTATTGTAATTGCAAGTTGGTAAAACACCTAATTGAATACCCTTAATCAATTTAAAAATAAATTTGTATTTATTTTTTATATACTTTTTAAAAGTTCACACTGCTGGCACTTTCAAACATTTCTAATCCCCTCTGATGCAACCCCAGCACCATGTACATGATGGCAAATTCTGTGTGTTCTCATTTCTTTTCTGCAGATAAAACATTATCATAATTATTCATACATGACGTGCTAAAATGCATAAAATTACAGATATGGCTCATATGTAGTTGGCATATGAACTAAATCCTTCTTTCCAACTGAGTCAACAGTCTTTACAAATTAGCGCTGTTAATGCAACCCTGTCACTGCAGTACACATTATAGGCATTATGAGAAACTTTGATGGCTTCAATCAGCTGTGTTTGTTATTTGATGTTTTAAGGACCTAAAGCAAATGCTAGCATGTTATGCCTTAATAGCCCTATCAGCTATGTTTGTTATTTGATGTTTCAAAGTAAAAGCTATCAAGTCTAGCCATATCAGTAGGATTAGACAGTGAACACTTGGATGTTAGACCTTTTGAACTTATATTAATACAGCTCCATATTTACTTACTTACAAGTCCAACTGCAGACTGCACAGACCCAGATCTGCCATAACACAGCATGCTGGCAGATTTCGATCTGTGCTGTTTGTTGTGAGTTATTAGTAGGACAAACAACTAGCATCATGGTCGGTAGGCACATAATGTTATGACATATTAGCAACTTTGCTGTTTGCAATTTGACTCAACTTATAAGCAAGTACATACTGTAATTGTCTTGTAACATTATCAATCAGATAATATAGACCTTGATTTTTTTCAAAAAATCTCATAAACTAATGGACTTCATTCATAATACAGAATGTAGTACAGGTAAGCCAACCTTATTTTAGTACTTTCGGTACATTTTGAAGAATTGTGACATATTCCATTTATACAGATGGCTTTTTTTAACTGTAATATTGTCCTCAGATTAGTAAAACAAAATAATGTTCAAGACATTATTCATATGAGAATATTGATATAGTTTACAGTTACTAGGCAAGTTGACACCACAACAGTGTTTCTAATCTCCCTATAACATTGTAAAAACATGCTACTGTTTCCTTACTGGACATCCTGGTTCACTACCCATTATTCTTCTTGTTATTGATTAGTTCAGAATAATATATTTATTTACTTTGTGGACTTACTGGTGAACTATTCATTACATTGATTATTGGAAAACCTTACCTTTATTACCTTTGTGGACTTCTGACCTAGCAAATACATTGATTAAAGTTACAGCTCACATTTGTTTCCAAAGCACAGGTATTGATGGTATGTACTATATTTCTCTTGTCATATCCCTCATGAGCTACCTTGTAAATTAATTCTTAAAAATGAAATGGGTTGGGAATTGTTATCAAATAAAGCTATTTTACATAATAGTTTTGCAAATTTTTGTAAAAAGTGACAATGATCTAGTCATGAAGTATGGTCATGTTATGGAACTATAATGTTAAAATGGTCATATGGAAAAATGATGGTACAGTGGTACAAATTATGGTACTCTAATGTCACAGTGGTCATATTATGGAAGAATAATGGTAAAATGGTCATATTATGGTAGAATAATGGTACAATTGTCATATTATGGAGGAATAATGGTACAATGATCACATTATGGAGGGATAATGGTATAATTGTCACATTATAGAGGAATAATGGTACACACATTATGGAACTATAATGGAACAGTGGTCACATTATGGAAGAATAATGGTACAATGGTCAAAGTATGGAAGAATAATGGTACAATGGTCACATTATGGAAGAATAATGGTACAATAGCCATATTATGGAACTATAATGGAACAGTGGTCACATTATGGAAGAATAATGGTACAATGGTCACATTATGGGGGAATAATGGTACAATGGTCATATTATAGAGAAATAATGGTACAATGATTACATTATGGAGGGATAATGGTACAAATGTAACATTATGGAGGAATGATGGTAAAATAGTCATATTATGGAACTATAATGGTACAGTGGTCATATTATGGAAGAGTAATGGAAGAGTGGTCACATTATGGAGGAATAATGGTATGATGGTCAAATTATGGAGGAATAATGGTACAATGGTCATATTATGGAGTAATAATGGTACAATAGCTATATTATGGAACTATAATGGAACAATGTTCATATTATGGAAGAATAATGGTACAATGGTCACATTATGTAGGAATAATAGTACAATGGTCACATAATGGAGGAATAATGGTACAATGGTCACATTATGGAGGAATAATGGTGCAGAGGTCATATTATGGAGTAATAATAATACAATAGTCATATTATGGAACTATAATGGAAGAGTGGTCACATTATGGAAGAATAATAGTACAATGGTCACATTATGGATTGTTGTTGTTGTTGGGCTTAATGCCATTTTTCAGCACATGATAGGCTATTCATGGAGGCCAGTATTAAGGGTGGAGGAAGAAACCTGGAAATCACCAAAAAGAACCACTGACCCACAAGAAGCTACTGGCAAGCTTTCTCACCTATCCACATTCACTGAATCCTAGACTAGAACCCACACAGGCAGAGGTGAGATGGCAGTGATCCATAACTGACAGCACTTTAGACCACTTGGCCACTGGGGGCCCCTTCACATTATGGAAGAATAGTAATACAATGGTCACATGATGGAAGAATAATGGTACAATAGTCATATTATGAACTATAATGGAACAGTGGTCACATTATGGAAGAATAATGGTATGATGGTCACATTATGGAGGAATAATGGTATGATGGTCACATTATGAAGGAATATTGGTACAATGGTCACATTATGGAAGAATAATAGTACAATGGTCATATTATGGAGAAATAATGGTACAATGGTCACATTATGGAGGAATAATGGTACAATGGTCACATTATGGAGGAATAATGATAAAATAGTCATATTATGGAAGAATAATGGAACAGTTGTCACATTATGTAGGAATAATGGTATGATGTTCACATTATGGAGGAATTATGGTACAATGGTCATATTATGGAACTATAATGGAATAAGCGTCATATTATCGAAGAATAATTGTATGAGGGTCACATTATGGAGGAATAATGGTACAATGGTCACATTATGGAGGAATAATGGTACAATGGTCCTATTATGGAACTATAATGGTACAGTGGTCATATTATGGAACTATAATGGTACAGTGGTCATATTAATAAACTATAATGGTGCAGAGGTCATTTTATGGAAGAATAAATGGTACAATGGTTATATTTTGGAATAACAATGTAACAGTCATAATTTTATAGAAGAATCATAGAACAATTGACATATTATTATAGAAGACTAATGATACAGTCACCATATTATGAAACAATAATGGTACAGTGATCATAGTATTGAAGAATAATGGTACAATGGTCACATTATAAAGAAATAATGGTACAATGGTCACATTATAAAGAAATAATGGTACAATGGTTACATTATGGAACTATAATTGTGCATGGGTCATATTTTTGAAAAATAAATGGTTAAGTGGTTATATTGTTGAATAACAATGTTAAAGTGATAATTTTATAAAAGAATGATAGTACAATGGACATATGGAAGAATAATGTTTACAGCAGTGGTCATATTATGAGAGAATAATGGTAGATAGGTCACTCTTTTAAAGGTCCTTTTTGATACCATTCTGGTTATAACACTAATACATTTCACTATATAGTAGTGAATTTATATATTTTTTTATTTTAATACCACTGTATGACTTTTATGAACAGTGTTGTAAGGAGGGAGTACTTTATGTTTCAAATATATTTCTATTTGATTATTTTTTCTATATTTTCCAGGACAGAAATGGCTGGGAATAATAGCTTCATGGTTACCGCAGAAAGTAGTTTAATTAATACAACCACTGAATCAATAGAACTACAAAACACAACTAATGCTAGCTCCTTTATCAACACTACCAAAGAGGTTCATAAGACTAATGAAGGCTCTGTGATGAATTTCTACAT